CTTGAAACGCAATCATAAACTGAAACTGGAAATAACATTAGAGATTACAATCTATAGAAACGATTAAAAATAACTTAAATATATAATTTAATATTATAAATTTAAGTGTAATATAATGAATGGAAATGTAAAAATATCCTAAGTGTTGATGTTTCTGTCAAAGATGTAAGATCAATTCCGACAATTTTTTATGTCAAACGTTGATTTAGAACGATGTCATATTATATATACGTACGTGATATTGAAGTTTCAGGTTTGAAGAGATCGCGAGAAAAACGATCTTCTTCACAATCATGGATTACGACGTCGAGTTAACGAGGCTGCGGTCTTTCCAATGCCCGAGAGCTACTTATTTCGCATATCAGGGCGTATAACATTTCTATACGAAGGGCGTACGCAGCTGGCCAACACCTCAAGGCAAAGCGACCGCATAAAAACGTGAAATATCGCGGGTGTTTCCTTATCGCCTGCTTGGTCATATGTAAAAATGAATAAAATCTCGGTAAGTTGCGCCAGGGGATCGCACGGCAGTCGCTCCAGGCCAGTCAGTCGAATCTGATTCCGTACGTTTTTAGCATACAAGTCGGCAGGCAAGCTTGGAAATAAATCGTTGCGTGCACGATTTCGTATCTGGCATTTCCTCAGCGTCCGCAAATATTCACAAGTGCAAATGAAATGCATCAAATATATCGTTATTGTTCTTCTTCGCGACCATGTAAGTTTGCACTGATGCGGAGTTAAATACCGTGGCAGTGTATTAATTTAGCTTAATTTAAGCGATAAGATAATGCTTATTAAAAAGAAATGGAAAACAGTAATATATATTAGATATAATATTTGCGATAGCGAATAAAAAGAAGCAAGACAAAGTCAAGCCGCAGCTAAGCAGAAAGGAATATCAAGGGGTGGACCGAAGAGAGAAAATCCGGGCACGCAGGAGACGAGAGGCACGTAGCGTGCGAACAATAAGCAATAATAGGTAATGCAATTCAAACGTGGAGGCTGGCAATACTCCGAAGCCGACGGGGTGGTTACAATGCTGGGAAATGCAAGACAGGCATTTCCTGCGAAACGCGACGGCGGCGACGAGAGGCGGACAGGGATGGTTGGAGAAGGCGGGGAGGGGTGGAGAACGGAGACAATCATACAATACGGGACGTTCGGATAGTCTATCGCATATTTGCCTTTACGCAATTCTCTACTCGCGCAAACGCTTCGCTCGCGATATTACGCAATCGCGATTTATCCAGTGCAACATGACGCGACGCGATGCGGCGCAACGCAATCATCGTCCGGAAGCGTGGTTGTATTTAATCCGGGGGATGTTCTCAACATGCCTACGTATGGTGATGAAAACGCTGCGAATAACCGCGAATCTCTGTACTTTACGTTTCCACAATATTGGTAAATAACCACAATAACGAATTCCACTCTGTATCGCAATACACTTTTCCAACTACAAAAAAATTGTAATAAGTTAAATGTATAAACAGAACTAATGTTTATAAATAGAATTACAAATTAATTAACAGTTATTTAATATTAATTAATTAACAGTTTCTATTAACAATTATTTTAATAATGATAGTTGATATTTAAAATTTGTTATTTCAATGAAATTTCCATTATTCTATCATCAACATAAATTTAAATTATTCTCGAGATGTTTTATACCGTATTCTATTACCTTACTTATAAATTAATCATATTGGAGTAATTGAATTATGTAAACAGTGAGATATTTCTTATGAAATCTTCTCTGTATTTCTACACTCGCGCATAGATCTCGATGTGATGGGATGATCTCGGGGAGAGGCATGAGGATGTAGTAGATGAAATCGTTTGTTCTAATATCGCAGGTCCGACCCCCGAAGCTCGAAGATGGAAGTTTGTCCGTTGGAAATTGTCCGGGTGACGTTGCAAATGGGTCCAGACGATTCCACCCGTCTCTTCTTATAGCTTTACCGTGACATTCACACATATGTTTTCAACGTAGCGCTGCTAGCCGGCAGTAGCTTCTCGCCTCGAAATCCCATGAGGCTAATTCTTAAGATATCGTTCGACGTTGACAAAAGTCGCCATATCGGAGTGAAAGTTTTCGCAGGAGTGCCGTATTTGTACTTGCAAACTTGTATTCTTTATCACCGTGTTTCGTTGTGAATGTGTATCATAAATGTTTGATCAGCAGTGGAGTTACTTTTTTATTGTACAATTTTTAAATTTATAGTGATATATTTATGACATTGATTTGATTATTATTAACATCAGTGACATCCAAGATAACGACAGCTTATTATAAGAGAATTACATTCTTGTCTTTCTATTAATACTTTACAAAATATCGATAGCACTTATTATACCTGTACATCTACTATTATAAATGAAAATTTCTCAATTTATATCGAAATTCTTTCTATCAAATCACATTTTCGACAAGTCTCTTCTCGCTTCACATAGTAAAATTTCTACAGAGAAACTCGAGACGAAACGTCATCGGTCTAACTCAGAAGGCAAATGACACGAGAAATATAATCCATGCCACCCCGGGCTTTGAACCCGGAGAACTTCTTACCCTTCCCACTCAACATCGTTATAACTCCTTACAGGTTTGGCCTCTCTTTCCCTCGACCGCTTTCCCCTTTCGTCTACGTCAATCCCAGAGAAAGCTGGGCATTGTCGTGCCGAAATTGTGCGTAACTACGACAATAGTTCGGCAGGATTGGGCGAAATTAATGAAAACTCGCGTAGGATTCACGAAGAAGGGATGAAGAGAGAAAGGGATGAGACCTCCCCAGAAACAGATATTCCAACAGTTGGAGGAGAAAGGGGGAGGAAGTTCGGCTAATCGTGACAAATACTGATCCGGGATTGCCGAATTATAAACTAATGTCTCGAGCAAACTTCGCCCAGGATAACTTTCTCCTTCTCTATCTGATTACTCCTCCGAATGCTCGCTCAACCTTCAAACAGCGTGTATATTATCTTACGTCAGTTGTCTTGAATTTTATTTGAATCTTCATATATATTAGTTAAATACAAAATATACATTTTTCCATTTAATTTAATTTTATTTATTCTGTAAATGTTCAGCACATCAAATATAGAAATAATCTTAATTATTCTATTAAATAATTTCATTCTTTTATGATTCCATTTTTATTAAATAAGATAATTAGAAAATAAAAAGAACAGAAATTTTTTTAATCGGTAAAAAAAACGATAATTATATAAAGTACTAAACGTATAACGTACAAGCATTAGTACGCATATTGCATTGGTGCAATTTCAACTGGCGAACTAAAGAGGATGATTTCGCCATCTTTATGTCTTGCGACCGGGCGTGTAAAGGATAACGGAAAGAGGGTGGTTGATGGTGAAGTTAGAGGGCGAACGTGAGTAGGCGGACGAGCGGCAATGTTCTGGGCCGGCCAAGAGAGAAAGGAAATTGGATGATATTTCCCGCAACGATCAAATCTTATTGCCAATTGAAAGAGGAAAGTTCGCGGTACATTTACCCCGAGAAATCACCGACGACGAAGAGGTGAGCTAGCGAAAATGGCCGCTGCGATCTGCAATTCTGCAAACCACTCGTGGCTCTTTCCATCGTGATAACAAGCTCGTCTACGAGAAAGTAATACGAAAATAATTACAGTCAGATTGACAGTCCGGCAAATAATTAATGGAATAAATTCATTTTGAAAATATAATTAAATATTAACGCGTACCTTTTACATCAAAATTATTCTAAAATTATTCTAAACTATTCTATCTCTTGTTATTTAAAAAAAATCAACTTCTTATTTTTTTTTTTCAAAAATAAATGTCTATTGAACCAAAGGGTCGTCGTATCGGGAAGTAATCTTAGCGTTGTTCTTACGTCCGTAAACTCACAGCAGATTGCAATCTAGTATTAGACGATTTTCTCTCATTTATTCGTATCCCCTTATCACATCGCACATCCCGGTAATATCTTCAGAAGCCAAAAGATTGTGCAGAGTGGAGGTCGCGGTTCAATTTCGATATCCTCCCTCATAATTTCATCTATCAGTATCAGCAAGAGAGAGAGAGAGAGAGAGAGAGAGAGAGAGAGAGAGAGAGAGAGAGAAAAGTCAGAATAGCCGTTTTCGCGGGAAGATCACGTTTGGGGATGGGGCGAGTTGTAATGAGCGAACGAAAGCGTCAGCGGCATCTAATGTTAGAAATTATAGCATATTGGCAATAAAATCCGGAGCAGGGTCCGCTCTTGCACGAGTAAGCTCAACGCAGTTGCCGTCTCTGTTTGTGGGTGGTTCGTTTATTGTAACAAATGACGGAACCACATTTCGCCATTACACGCGATCTTGTTCAGGAAATATCTGATATACCGATAATATTCCCAATCACATTGTTGCTTCTTATGGATAATACCATAACAATATATTAATACAGCTCACTTTTCGCGTCATATCTATGTTCTTACAATTAGATGTTTATGATTAAAATAATAAAAGCGACAATATTGATTAAACTTCAAAATACTGTTTTATACTTTAAAATATATTTTATACTTAATCTCTCATACACAATAAATTCGCGCAATTTTCTCGTTGACTATTATTGAAAAAATATGTAAAGGTTGCATAAAAGTTTATTAATTTATGAGCTATATGTGCTCAACGATAAAACAATATAGAGACAACAAATTAAACGTACAATAGTAGAACTAAAATGTATAACATTTGAGATACGCGAGATTTTTTCTCTATTCAATTTAAAGTATGACATATGTTTAAAATGTGAAACATTCAGCAAAACAAAATACACGAAACACAAATAAATGTCAAGTTATTTAAAAAATGCACATAGTAATTCTTAATATCAATAATTATATACAAGCATTATGTATAATTAAACAAACATTAATTATTATATTTACTGTCATTCAGTTTCTGAATTACTATTAATATCTGTGTGTATAGAGAATCGCGAAAATGTAGTATTATCAGATAATTTTCTAACTTTCATCCAATTTGGACTTTTCTTTTTGTCTTTGGTAATCTCATGTTAAAATTATCTTCCATTTCAGAACTATCAGTTTCGCATACAGATGAATATACGTTTGACTTTACACTGCTGTCTGTCTGAAAATGTAAAAGATATAGGCTATTATATGTGAGATCTTTTTTCGTAATTATTAAATTTTTCAACTTTACGTGTATACTAATAACAAACAATTTTTAATTTAATTAAAAAACTCCTCAAAATTCTATTATAACAATTAGACATTATACGTTAATTGTTGACTCTACAATTAAAACCTACTTTATATTACATACAAACAGACCTGACAAGATTTGTTATTCAATTTAATGCTAATGTAATCAAAGCCATCAGTCTCATCGAAAAAAGTTGTGGATTTTTCACTTGAAGCTGACGAAACAATTAATGTCTCCGAACTAGCGTGATTAGGCACGAAACTGGAACTGCTTGCGGAATTATTTTTGGTTTCATGGTCTTTTAAGATTTCTTCTGACTGTTTTTGATTCTCAGTTAAAGAGCTCTCCAAGTTATTTGAACTGTTCGCAGTTTCAAAATATTTATTCTTCTCTTCGATTTCATTTTGCAAATGTTTCAAAATCTCATGTTTTTTTATTGAAGCATTTTTATTAGTTTTAAGTAGAGTTATTTCTAATTCTTTATGCTCCAGTTGCATCTTTAAACGAGTTATTTCATCCTGGCTATCGCTATAAGTCTTGTAAATTTCGTTCAAGAGTATTATATTATTTTCTTGATTTAATCGAGATTTCAAATTATGAATTTCCGCTTTCATGGTATTTTCCACATTTTTACGCAAATCTTTGCAACAATGCAGATCTTCCTTAACCAAACCGATACTTTCGTCTGCTTCGATAATTTGCTCACTCAGATTTCTCGCTTTCTCATTGTTTACAACGTTCAGATCTGCTATATTACGTACTTCACTTTTCAACGGGATAATTTCGCTCTCTCTTTCTGTTATCTTCATTGTTAATTTCTTCAGTTTATCCTCGAGAGTCAATTGAGTCTCAGAACATTCATATAACTGCGTGTAAAGCTCGTTCTTGTCTTTTTGACATCTGTTCACAATAATCTCAAAATCATATATCTTCTGGAACAATTCGTAATCTTTCGCAAACTCATGTTGCATTTCAGCAATCCTTCTATCGAACTCGCTTATCTGTAGAGTCTTTTGTAACAATTCTTCTTCCAAATTTTCGATCTTTGGTAAATGTTCATTTGCGCATCTACTAAACACTTTCTTCAACCGATTGCGCAATAAAGACAATTTATTTTCAAAGGCTCTAGATTTCTTTATATATCTTTCTAAGCATTCGAAAATTCGATTTTCATTTTCTTCCTTTACTATTAGTTTGCGGCTTAGCTCACAAATCTCACGTTTGTATTCTTGTATTTTATTTTCTGTCACCTTGGATACACCATCGTCTTTGATTCCAATTTCATTCTTCTCTTCAATCAATCGTTCCAATGTTTCTTCTTTGTGCAGCATTTGATAATCGTTCGTATAAGTCTCTTCATTTAATGCATAAATCATATCCCGAATAGTTTCCAGATCCTCAGACAATTCAGCAACATGTACCGTCTCTTGATAATTCCATTTATTCAAATCTGTACTATTTTCGAGCTGTTCAATGTTTTCTTTCACTAAATTCTGACTGTCCTCATCGATGATATAAGTTTGTGTGCACTTATCCTCATTTTCGCGGATACTTGTGTGATCACTTACGCTGGTAGATCTTCGTAATTCGCTACTTACACCCGAGTCTTTGCTACTTCTGTCACTCGATCTAGAACCGCTGCAATCCATACTGCCACTACTTTCGAAGAGACTTTTGTGATCAACGCTTGACACGTTTGAGAGTTTCTTTTTCATTGATTTGACATGATTCGCAAACAATGTAGGAATAGTGATCCAGTCGTTAAACTCATGTTGTTCAATTGTGGTTGAGTTCATGCACATTCGTGAGGGATTTTTCACTACAGATATGTTATCCTGAATAGAGCTATCTGCTATATAATCCTCAAATGAAATATTTGTTGATTGGTCACATTTTTTATCGCTTATACTTTCATTTTTTGTATCATTCGAGAACTGTCGAACTTCAACAAGCTGTCTTTCTTGCAACTGTGTATGATGCTGCAGTTTGACGATGCAAGCTTCTTGCAAAAGTTCCTCCTCTAATTCTTTCACTTTGTTCAAAGTATCATTCAAAAGATATTCTGATTTTGATAATTTCTGTTTCGCTCCAGAAGCAGTTTCAGCGTCTTTATTTTCTATTACACGAATATATTCGCTCATCTCTTCGAGTTTCTCCTCGGTTCTTTTTATTTTTTCATCCATTAACCGTTCCAGATTGTTCATGAGACAATCAGCATCATCCTCGATGTTTTCAGTGTTGCCACCCCACTTACGAATCCTGGCTCGCGTGAGCTGTCGAAACTTTTTCAATTCTTCCGTTACCAAAGCTAATTCAAAGCTGTATTTATTCTTTTCGCAGAGGATCGTTTTATTCTCTTGCTTCAATTTCTTTACCGCTTCTTTCAGAATCATCATCTTAGAAGTGACCTGTGCATTCTCAGCTTTGAGTTCTTCGTAAAGTGTATGACTATCCTCGACGTAATCCCCGCTGTTTCCTCGCTTTCTCTTCTTATGCTGCATCAGATTATCGATGCGTTCCTTGTAAAAGCTTTCAACCTGTTTGATAGACCATTTTAATAGATCCTCTCCCTCAGTTTCGATCTTCTTAGTATTCTTTTTGTAGGTCCCTTCCAACTCTTTAATCATGCGTAAATTATGATCGGCTAGTTGTTGTCGAATTGTGTATTCGCAATTTAACATATCACTTTTAACAGTTTCCAATTCTTGCTTCAGTCTTCTATTCTGCTCTCGTATATTTCTACATTCTAACGAATCGGTAGAGCCAATCGTTTCTGTAATCTCACATGGGCTTTGATAATTAGATGATGATGTCATAGTTTCAAGTTTATCAAATGTTTCGAGATTACGGATAGTTTCTTCAAATTCGCAAATTTGTTTATATTCCTTATGATAATTTGTTAGCTTTCTAACTATATCACAGAAATTAAAAATGCTCTGTATTTCATCAAACAGATTTGACTGAAAAATGACATTCACTATAAAAATCAGATTTTCCTCACCTGATAGGGCTCGTTGACATATTCTCGTTAAATTTGACTGGCGGAATGGTGCCATTCGATTCTGACTCACAGCCTGGAGGCATCTACTAAGCACTAGCAGGCTGTTGTTGATGCTACTTCCTTCGCGCATATGCGATTTTTTGAACTGTGTAGAACCAGCCAAGTCGCAAAAAGTCAAAGTACTGAGTATCACTTCTTCCGCTGCATAATCCTTCTGATACTTCAGTAATTTCATCATGAAAATAGTATGTGATCGAGACTTCTCCGATCCTGTCGTGACAACGCTCATTCTCGATTGGCCTGCCACGAGAATCTGACAGGCTTCCAGCGCAGTTAAGGCATACACTTTTTGCAAACCGCAAACAGCTTGCCCTTCAGTGTTTATATACAATTTCAACGGAGAACGTGTTTCCGCGTCGTCCAACAGATCGTAAACATTTCCATTGTAAATCTCCGCGAAGGACAGCCAGACGGCGTACATTGACTCGCTATCACACTCTTTGGATTTACAGCCAGGATTACCTGGCTGTGAGCTCTCCAAAAATTTTTTGGCATCCGCAGATATCTGATTTATATTCATTGTTCGTCCATTTAATACTCGCGTTTTTCGTTGCATCTCCGAAACTCGCGCGATCTCATTCAAGCAGAGCACAGTATCTTGAAACGTCGGTTTGTACCATGGCGTTATAGTGCAGTTTATCGTCGAAAATACAAGCTCGATACTACGCGTTATTATACCGGGCGATGAGGACGTGCCGAACAGCGTGTAAGTCTTCCCGGAATCCCTCATGCCGTAAGTCATGATGGTTGAACTTTTACCACTGAGAAACTCCACGACTCGATGTTTTATGGATCCCTCGAACATTTCCACTTGCGAAGTTTCTGATCCAAAAATCTTCGTAAAGACATGCCGTCTGCCTTCGGCCTCGCTCGATTTCGCACATCTCGAATTTCGAGTGAATTTATCCTCAAACGGCTGAAATGTTGTTAAAAGAGTTCTCGTGTCGAGTACGATGTAATTCTTTTGAAGTACCGATGCTGGTCTTATCCTAAGATACATCTCCGCACTCGAAGCGGATATTTTCGAAGCTCGTCTTGATTGCATATTAATAGACTTCTTATTGCATTGCAACGAAAAGAAATAGTTCGTTTTGACTTCCTATGTGCAACTCTTTGCGAATGTATCAGAGGAATTTTTTCTGGTTGAAGTCATACTGAGTCAAAATGAGCAGTAAAATGATTGAAAATTACAAAATATTTGAATAATCAATATTTGACTAATTATTAGACAGGTTATTTTACGTCCATATTTCTGGAAAATTAAACGTAATTATTTCAGATGTATAATAACAATATGAATTAATTTGTGAATAAGATAGAAATTTGCTTACTTTGAAGAGATTTACATCGGATAATTTTCATAGAAACGTCTTCAGTTTTACGATATAACTCTCGCGAATGTTGATATTATGATCTTCGACATCTTTTCATTCTTGAACTATGTTCAAATTTAGCAATTAAGAGTTATATTCATGATGTAAGAAGACGTGGTTATATGCAATCATTATGGTTATGTTCACGTGGTTATATTCACGTAAGTAAAACAGAAATAAAAAATACTAAAAATACATATGGATAGATACAAACGATAATAGGTACTATAAAACATTTCACTATCATCTTATAGCGTTTTTCACTCGTGCGCACTCAATGCATTTTAAAGTCGTTGTATACAAATCGACATAAAGATGAACGTTTAATAAAGATATAGAAACGAATTAAACCGCGAAATCCTCAGTACATTTTATTGTGATATTCGATAAAATATACATTGAGTATTTTATTAATTGAGATATCTCACCTTTACATTCTGATTAAGTTAGTATACAACAGCTTTAATATGTACTGAGTGTGCACTAGTTCTGCCAGTGAAAAACGTTATTAGTTTCTATGGTTGCATCGATGCGCGACAAATGACAAGGACATGACAAAAGAACGCTTAGTTGCTGGAAACACGTGGAAATCAAACATTAATTATAAACATTTTAATAATTACAATAAAATGAGAATGTAATAAATATTATGTCAATATAAAATCCCGTTCCGTAATAATTTGCCAGTTGTACCGTTCAAAGTATCTAACTTCGTCGCTAATATGAATGTCGTAGTTTATTCGAGGAGACACATTTCCTCTTTCGAAGCTATTCATCTGTCGCCAAGACACGCCAACGCGTAGTCCGCGAGGCGGGCATAGAGACGAACTTGCAGAAATTTGGCGATGACATCCGCGATACAGACTGCAAAACGCACAAACGAGAAAGGAACGTCGAAACATCGCGAGAAGAAGGAAAAGAAAGAAGAAGAGGAGTAGGAGGAAGAAGAGGAATCCTCCTGCAACCGCCTCGAAATATCTTCAAAGACGAGCAAGCAGCAATTTATATACGCGTGTCGCTCGGCTCATTAAACGCAGCCAATCAAAGCCGAAGCTAATAGCGGCCACGGCGCGTATGGCGTGTCCCAGGATGGGACGCGCGATGCGCGAAATCCGCCGTAATCTCGGCATCGGAATCGGCATCGTGGGCACAAGTCTGCCACTGTACCGTTATGCACCGGCCTGACCGCCGAATGCGGTCCGCGAGTCGTTGAATCGGCGGTGCCTTTCAAGCTACAATCGACCCCTTGTATCGACAGTACGGCAGCCGCCTCCAGCCGCCTCCCTCCGCCTTGGCGGCCCTTCCGCCGTTAGTGCAGTCCTTCTGCTAAGATTTCGCTCTTTTCGTCTTAGCCGCTCCCTTGGATGTATATCGCTTCATCGCACGCGCGCGTCTTCAACCGTATCTCTCTCTTGTACTGGATTAAAGCTTGCCGCTGCGTCTTCGGTGGTCCTTTCGTTTCTCCGTTAATATGTACAATGTTGCGTATTAATATATTCTTCGATATTGATATTAAATGAACGTGTTGAACAATAACTGACATGCTTCTATGAATAGTGTTGTGATCATATATTAATTCGCTATATTTGCTTTGTGTTATTTCTTTAATCAGAATTAATTTATCGAGCAATTCCCACACAATACAGATCGGTTCAGCAATATTGTATTAACATTGCAACAATATTGCAAACTTTGCAGAAATATTGCTGCAAGAATCAAATTTTTTAGCGTGACGAGCGTTTTAAGCCTCACATACAAATCTTTGTTCACTCGTATCCTACTTTAATTTTGCATTTGATGACGCGGTAATACAGAATTTTTTCAGCAAACTTATAAGGAATCCGAATTGTGACATCGCGTATCGAAACGAAACTTCGTCTAGAAGACCATAACGGAGACTCGAGGGATCTTAAGTATTTACGTCATAATAGACACATCACTTTTGATCTACGGCGTAACTCGCGATACGGTCCAACGTGCCGGTCGTAAAAACCTCGAAGAAGAAGAAAGAGAAGAGCGGGAAGAAACAAGAAGAAAGGGGAGGTCCTCTCCTTTACGGCGAGAAGAAGAACGCGTAAGCTTCGATATATAGGCGCGCTCGTATATAAGATGTAGCTGGTGTATGAAAAATAACAGCCGTTGTGCCTCGCCCCCCTCTATATCGGGCGTTAATGCCTCCACGGTGGATTGATGTTCCGCCTTTATGGGTTATTTATTTAATACTGACAAATTTCATCCAATGCCCTTCCCCCCTGCCGTCGGTGGTCTCACCGACCATTACTGGCCGCTTCTTTTATGGCGCTTTTGATAGCGTTGAAGAACGAAAACGGTACTCGGTATTCGGTACCGGTATGATTCGACAGAGAGAATCTCGATACAAATATGAGTCATAGGAAATGTGTTATATGAGTGATAGGAATTGTGCCTTGAAGCTTCTGCAAATCGATTTATATTTTGTTCTGTTCAATAATTTTTTCATAATCATGTAATATTTTCTATTTCTAATGTCATTCCGAGAGAAAATAAATAAAAGAAGAAATATAATATCTACTATATGAATACGCTATTCTTGACTATATGAATCTTTAGCAATTTTTTTAGTAGGACACAAACAACCACCGTAATATCATTAAAAAGATTACTTTTCTTTCTCCTTAAGTCAGACTTAATTCCGTAAAAAAAAAAAAAAAATCCAGAAACTCTGGCTTTATCTATAAGACAATGTAACTATGAAACGAACTTTTCTATGTAAAATATTGTAACTTTAATACAATTGTCAATTAACCGCGCAATACTCGATCGCATACTTTCTTGTTGCTATTATTATTATTATTATTTAAGGATTCTTTTCACTCATCACTAATATTTCAGATTATGATATCAAAATTTAAAAAAATAGAAAATAAAAGTTCTTATAAATTGATATGAAAACATATTTCAATGAAAAAAATCAGTCAAGAATCGACTAAAATATATCGAAAAACTTTTTATTTCATTAATTAATAAATAACAATATATCTAGAAATAAATTAACCAAAAACAAAATAAGCTATATTTCACTGTGACGCACATAAAATTAATAGTATATAGAAATATATATTTAATTTCTCCGAAAAAAAGATAGTTTTCGATATATTTACAATCTATTTACATTGCAAATTAAAGTTATTTTATTTGAAAAATATTTCCATTGAAATATAATTTGCAAGAATTTTTGTGCTATGCTTTATTCATTTCTGACATTTTGCCATTTATTCATTTCTGACAGTTTGAAACAGTAATATGGAAGCCTTAATTACTCCGAATACATATAATTAATAATGGAGATGCCAATATTCGTTCGAGTCATTCGAAACAGCAATACAATTGATGATCCCCGAATTGATCGATCTATATCGATAAGTTTTATTATACGCGTACATGTGTGTGCTCTGAGGACGTATACGTCGATGCGTGTTTCATAGCAGCTGCCGGACTCGCGCGACAGCGCGTAAGGAAGAATGATGATGATGATGATGATGATGATGATGATGATGACGACCACGACGATGGTCGCATGCAAGCCGAAGAGAGGAAAGGCTACATCGCGCGTGTTTCAAATCAACTCAAATAATAATCACGAGTTATAAATGCCACTAGACGGCTAACCGGCCCAGACTGATCCCGGGTTAAGATACGTCTCCGTGCATCTCTTTTAACGCGAAGTCATGTATCCGCGACTTGATGTAACGCTGTGTCGGCTGCGCTTTTCACGTCAAGAGGAATCACGCAATGGGAATACATTGTTGTAATTATTATTGGAATGAAATAAGTCTGATAGTATTAGAGATTAAAGATTATGCGATTATTTATTTTTCTTTACGCACGACATAGTACCCACCCCCCGGCCTCAATGACTCGTGCATGCAACGCATGCAATTCATCAGGATTCAATGGTCATTGCATATGTAAAAATAATAAATTTAGGATAGATACACTTTAAATAGCGTGCGCACATTGATCGAGAAAAGAAAGTTTAAAATAAACGCGATACCGCATTATTAAAATGAATCGCCGATTGTAGTCAGTCTGGTAATTAGATGCAGCGATGTACCGAGTGAGTTATGGCCTGGTAATTGCAGGGCAGACGCACAACGTTACCGTAAAATGTTAACGATTGTCTATGTATCTTCGTGATGATCGTGATCAAAGAAACAGGTAAAATTCTCATAAATATCGGCACAGTACTTACATACGTTATTACGCGGATCACGCGCGGATCACATGCATTCTCGATGCGACGAGTGTGATTCCCGGATAACTAATTATATCGCAAATGTAAAATTGCACATACTTTTGCGTTACCTGCCGTCAAAGTTGCTCTTGCCGAACGGATAATATTCGCATTACCGCATCACTTTCAGAGTTAATAATAACGGTCGACTTGCGGACCAATTAAGACACATCACCGAGCATATGATCGAAGGGGCCTTTAGTGACAGTTGGCGTCATTAAGGCGACGATGCCCGGCCATGCGAGGGCCCCGTATTCGTTTTTAAACAATTTCATAGCACGAGAAGCGATCCCTATCATTGCGTATCATCTCTGTGAGATCATCGGTGACCATCGTTGTAAGCGCGCGTCATTT